CCCAAGCAGCCAAGAGAGCCCCGAGGCGGCCGCGAGAGGCCAGAACGGCCTCCTAGGGGGAAAAACGGCGCGAGAGCGCCCCAAGACGGACTAAGACGCCCCGAAGAGGCCCCAAGAGGACCCAAAGAAGCCCCCAAGAGTCCCCAAGAAGCCCCCAAAGAAGCTTCCACCAAGCCCCACAACGTCTGGACTGCACGTGTTCCGGACGTGCACCCCGCGAAGCGAGAAGGAATCTACGTCCGGAAGTGACGTGTTGCTGGAGGCAGATCGCGCAGCGGAGCGGCAGCCCTAATGCAACGTATCCAATATATTCCTCTCGCTTCGCGGGTGCACGTCCGGAGTACGTACAGTCAAGTCGTGTTGGGGGTTCTCGGAAGTCTCTTGGAGACTTCTTTGGGGTCTCTTTGGGCTTCTTGGGGGCGTCTTGAGCCTTATTGGTCGCTGTTGCGCCGTTTGGCCCCTGCGGAGGCCGTATTGGGGACCTCTCGCGGCCGCCTGGGGGCCATTGGGGTCCTCTTGGGCCGTCTCGGGGGGCCCCTTGGGCCGTCTTGGAGACCTCTTTGGGCCGTCTTGGGGCCATCTGGGGCCGTCTTGGGGTCCTCTCGGGCGTTTCGCGAGCCGTCGTGGGGCGATTTTGGAGGCTGCTTGGGTCGTCAGGAGTCGAAAAAAGCGAGAAGGCGAAAATACTTCAAAACCCTTCGGATGATTAATGATTTGGGCTTGCGGAGGCGCTATTGGGGCTCCTTTGGGGGCCCTCTTGGGCAATCTTGGGCGCTTTGGGGGCCCTCTTGGGGCCATCTTGGGCCGTCTAGAGCCCATCATGAACCATTTTGAAACCCTCTTGGGCCCCCGGGAGGGCCACGGGGCCCAAATCATCGATGTCCCATCGGTCTGGGATGTTTCTCCAACCATCAAGTGGTGTTGGGTCCTCATTTTGAAGAAACGGTCCCCGCGTCTCCTCGTCCCGTGCCCCCCCACCAGTGGGGGTACCACATGCGTCCGCCACACCCAGTACAGCGATTCGTGGCCCTAGGGAGTTCCAGCCAAGGCCACAATGGGGGTGGCCACATGCGTCCGCCACACCCAATACGGCACGTCGTGGCCCCATAGGGAGCTCCACCTAACGGCCCCAGCGGGGGTGGCTACATGCGTCCGCCACACCCAGTACAGCGTTGCGTGGCCCAATAGGGAGCTCCACCCGAGGCCCCAGTGAGGGTGGCCACATGCGTCCGCCACACACAGCACAACGTTTCGTGGCCCCATAGGGAGCTCGACCTAACGGCCCAGTGGGGGTGGCCACATGCGTCCGCCACACCCAGTACAGCGCTTCGTGGCCCCATAGGGAGCTCCACCCAAGGCCCCAGTGGCCACATGCGTCCGCCACACCCAGTACAGCGATTCGTGGCCCTAGGGAGTTCCAGCCAAGGCCACAATTGGGGTGGCCACATGCGTCCGCCACACCCAGTACAGCGCTTCGTGGCCTCATAGGGAATCCCACCCAAGGCCCCAGCGGGGGTGGCGCTTCGTGGCCCCATAAGGAGCTCCAGCGTTTCGTGGCACCCATAGGGAGCTCCATCGGAGGCCCCAGTAGGGGTGGCCACATGCGTCCGCCACACCCAATACAGCGTTTCGTGGCCAATGGGACCGTCCGCATGCGTCCCGCACACACCCAGTTTGTCATGTTCACCCACCCAATACAACGTTGCGTGGCCTCATAGGGAGCTCCACCAAAGCCGCCAGTGGGACCTCCCGCATGCGCCCTGAAGCCCAATTTGGCATTTTCACCCACCCAATACAGCGCTTCGTGGCCCCAATAGGGAGCTCCACCGAAGCCCCCAGTGGGACCGTCCGCATGCGTCGCACACACCCAAGTTGGCATTTTCACCCACCCAGTACAGCACTTCGTGCTCCACCGACGGCCCCAGTGGGACCGTCCGCGTGCGTCCCGCACAACCAAGTGGCATTTTCACCCACCCAGTACAGCGCTTCGTGGCCCCAAAGGGAGCTCCACCGAAGCCCCCAGTGGGACCCTCCGCATGCGCTCCGGAAGCCCAACTTGGCATCATCACCCATCCAATACAGCGTTTCGTGGCCCCATAGGGAGCTCCACCGACGGCCCCAGTGGGACCGTCCGCATGCGTCCCCCCCCACCCGGTGAAGCGCTTCGTGGCCCCAAAGGGAGCTTCACCGAAGAATATATTTACAATTGCGGTACCCACAACTGCATATGGTTGGGATAATTGAAGCCCAGAAGGGTTCCACCATCTTTGGGTCGATGGATGCGGCGCGGCGCCTAGGGGGGTTAGGGGGGGAAGCAATATAATGTAGCGCATTATAATATGTAGGAATTATGCAATGATCGGATACGTTGGATACGTTTGCATTAAGGCGTTCGCCGGAAAACTCTGCCGCTCAGCACGTCACCTCCGGACGTGGATCCAATGCAGAATCGCCACATACACTATAATGTACCCCCCCTAACCCCCCCCCTGGCGTCGCGCCACATCCGTCGACACAAAGATAGCGGACCCCTTTTAGGCCTCAAAACCCACAAAAACCGATGGGAAATCGATGATTTCGGGCCCTGGGGCCTCTTGGGGTCCACAGGGCGTTAAGAGGGCTCAAGGTGCCTTCAGTACGGGCCAAGACGGCCCCACGATGGCCCAAGATGGGCCCAAGAGAGCCCCAAGAGGACCCACACGACCGCTCCCAGGAGCCAAAAACACTGATGTTCCTATGGTTTTTGAAAGATGTTAGCGCTCTCGCCTCGTTCGTCTCTCAGAGGCCACTGACGGCCCAAGCAGCCTCCAAGATGGCACTAAGACGGCCCAAGAAACCCCCGAGAGGGCCCCAAGACGGCCCAAGCGAACCCCAAAATAGCCCAAAGAGGCCCCAAAAAAGGTCCAAGAGGCCCCCAAGACGCCTCCAGGGGACCCCAAGAGAGCCCCACGGCGGCCGCGAAAGGCCCACAGAACGGCCTCCGAAGGGGCCACACGGCGCAAGAGCGCCCTGAGAAGGCCCGAGACGCTCTCAAGGGCCCCAAGAGGCACCAAACAAGCTCCGAGGAGGCCCCAATACACGCTCAAGAGGCTTCCAAGAGGCCCCAAAAAGGCTCCCACCAGGCCCCGCAACGACGTGACTGCACGTGCACCCCACAAAGCGAGAGGAATCATCATCATCATCATCATCATCATCATCATCATCATCATCATCATCATCATCATCATCATCATCATCATCATCAGCATCATCATCATCATCATCATCATCATCATCATCGTCATCGTCATCATCATCATCATCATACCCACCACCACCACCCCCATCATCATCATCATCATCATCACCACCACCACCACCATCACCACCACTACCACCACGACCACCACCACCATCATCATCATCATCATAGCCATCATCATCATCAGCAGTAGCAGCAGCATCATCATCACCATCATTATCATCATCATCATCATCAGCATCATCATCATCAGTATCGTCAGCGTCATCAGTATCATCATCATCGGCAGCAGCATCGTAATCGTCATCGTCAAAACCATCGTCATCACCATCATCATCATCACCACCACCATCAGCATCAGCATCATCATCATCATCATCAGCATCGTCATCACCATCATCATTATGACCATCCTCATCATCATCATCATCATCATCGTCATCGTCATCAACGGCGTTGTCATCTTCATCCTCATCGTCGTCGGCATCGTCATAATCGTCATGATCATGATCCTGATCATCAGCCGTCATCATCATCGTCAAAACTACCACCATCATCCTCCTCATCCACCTCATCCTTATCCGCATCCCGACCCTTCTCATCATCGTCTTCCTGCTCCTCCTCCTCCTCCTGCTCATCGTCATCATCAGCAAAACCACCACCACCATCCTCCTCCTCATCCACCTCATCCTTATCCGCATCCTGACCATCCTCATCATCCTCTTCCTGCTCCGTCTCCTTCTGCTCATCGTCATCATCATCATCACCATCATCATCATCAGCATCATCATCGTTACCGTCATCGTCATCGTCATCGTCATCGTCGTCGTGATCATCATCCTGCTCGTCGTCGTCGTCATCGTCATCATATTCATCATCATCATCAGCATCATCATCATCAGCATCATCATCGTCATCGTCATGATCATGATCATGATCACCAGTCATCATCATCATCATCATCATCATCATCATCATCATCATCATCATCATCATCATCATCATCATCGAAACCACCACCACCATCCTCCTCCTCATCATCCTCAGCCTCATCCTCATCCTGGCCCTTCTCATCATCATCTTCCTGCTCCTCCTCCTCCTCCTGCTCATCATCATTTTCCTCATAATCATCATTATCACCCTCATCAATCATCAACTGATCATCATCATCATCATCATCATCATCATCAGCAGCAGCAGCAGCAGCATCATCATTCCCGTCATCATCACAAGCATCATCA